CGACTGCCTCGCTTCGCAAGGCGCAGTTTTACCGCTCCCTTGTTTTCCAGCCGCCTCGGTCCGAGAGGGCGCGATTTTGACTTTGAATTATGAACAGCCTAACAATAGAACAGAACTGATCGACTAATATTCTCGCAATATATGACCTTGAACTATTATATTTTTTAAATCAAGAACATGTTGTATTGACATCTAAAAAAAGCAGTTTTCAATGTTTTGTTCTTTAAAATGACACTTTGTACCTAGAGTATGTATGCATATTGAAACTGAAAACAACTTTAAGTGAGAAGTTCTTATGCCGTCAGTCGTTTTCTCTTCTTTTAATTTGGTGTTCAAGAGGATTGTGTCTTTATATCAATAATCATTCCACAATTGTCTAGGGCTACCATGGTCGTCCAAAGGACACACAAATCTGTGCATTATTGCAGAGAGGATACAAAGTATGTCATCGTACACTGACGTCAATAGCGTGCTACAAAATGTTCTGCAAATACAAAATTGGATGACCTTTAGGTCCACCCTATGTTCCCTTAGCCCTATGTTTCCTCAACCAGTATTCCTTCAGCCCTATGTTCCCTCAGCCCTATGTTCCCAGGGCCCTAATGTTCCCTCAGCCCTATGTTCCCTCAGCCCTATGTTCCCAGGGCCCAATGTTCCCTCAGCCCTATGTTCCCGCAGCCCTATGTTCCCTCAGCCCTATTCCAGGCCCTATGTTCCCAGGGCCCAATGTCCCTCAGCCCTATGTTCCCTCAGCCCTATGTCCCCTCAGCCCTATGTTCCCAGGGCCCATGTTCCCTCAGCCCTATGTTCCCTCAGCCCTAAAGTCCCCTCGCCTAGTTCCCTCACCCTATGGGTCCCTCAGCCTATGTCCCAGGGACCCAATGTCCCTCAGCCCATGTCCCCGACATATGTTCCCAGGGCCCTATGTCCCTCAGCCCTTGTTCCCTCAAGCTTTATGTTCCCAGCCCTAGTCTAGGGCCCTATGTCCCAGGCCATGGCCCACATCAGGCCCAGTCCCCTCAGGACCCTATGTTCCCAGGGCCAATTCCTCAGCCTATGTCCCCTCAGCCTTATGTTGCCCACTATGTTCCCAGGGCCCTATTTCCCTCAGGCCTTAGTTCCTGGCCCTATCTCCTCAGCCTATTATTCCTCAGCCCGGAAACATATGAACTCCAAGTATTGAAATACGTATCAAACAATAACAGAACGCCTCTCTGTCAACATCACAGGCACTCACCCAAATATGTGAACATCAGTGGAAAAATATACTTGTAATATTTGGCCCAGGAACATAGGACCCAGGGAACATAGGACCCAGGGAACACAGGACCCAGGGAACACAGGACCGAGGGAACATAGGACCCAGGGAACACAGGACCCAGGGAACACAGGACCGAGGGAACATAGGACCCAGGGAACATAGGACCCAGGGAACATAGGACCCAGGGAACATAGGACCCAGGGAACATAGGACCCAGGGAACATAGGACCCAGGGAACATAGGACCCAGGGAACATAGGACCCAGGGAACATAGGACCCAGGGAACATGGACCCAGGGAACAGGACCCAGGAAATGGGAGGAACATAGGACCCAGGGAACATAGGACAGGGAACAGGACAGGGAACATAGGACCCAGGGAACATAGGACCCAGGGAACAAGGACCCAGGGAACACAGGACCGGGAACATAGGACCCAGGGAACACAGGACCCAGGGAACACAGGACCGAGGGAACATAGGACCCAGGGAACATAGGGCCGAGGGAACATAGGGCCCAGGGAACATAGGGCAGAGGGAACATAGGACCCAGGGAACACAGGACCCAGGGAACATAGGACCCAGGGAACATAGGACCCAGGGAACATAGGACCCAGGGAACACAGGACCGAGGGAACATAGGACCCAGGGAACATAGGACCAGGGAAACATGCGAGGGAACATAGGACCCAGGGAACATAGGACAGGGAACATAGGACCAGGGAACAAGGGCCGAGGGAACATAGGACCCAGGGAACATAGGACCGAGGGAACATAGGGCCTGGGAACATAGGGCAGAGGGAACACAGGACCAGGGAACAAGGACCCAGGGAACATAGGGCCAGAGGGAACATGGGGCAGGGAACAAGGACCCAGGGAACACAGGACCCGGGAACATAGGACCCAGGGAACACAGGACCGAGGGAACATAGGACCCAGGGAACATAGGGCAGAGGGAACATAGGACCCAGGGAACATAGGACCCAGGGAACATAGGGCAGAGGGAACATAGGACCCAGGGAACATAGGACCCAGGGAACATAGGACCCAGGGAACATAGCACCCAGGGAACACAGGACAGAGGGAACATAGGACCCAGGGAACATAGGACCCAGGGAACATAGGACCCAGGGAACATAGGGCTGAGGGAATATAGGGCCGTGGGAACATAGGACCCAGGGAACATAGGACCCAGGGAACATAGCACCCAGGGAACACAGGATTGAGGGAACATAGGACCCAGGGAACATAGGACCGAGGGAACATAGGGCTGTGGGAACATAGGGCAGAGGGAACACAGGACCGAGGGAACACAGGACCGAGGGAACATAGGACCCAGGGAACATAGGGCAGAGGGAACACAGGACCGAGGGAACACAGGACCGAGGGAACATAGGACCCAGGGAACATAGGACCGAGGGAACATAGGACCGAAGGAACATTTCACTCTAAAATTGAATATTGAACCGCATGTGCAAATGTATGCATGCACCAATCTGCATTATGTTATTTTTTAGTTTACATTTAGATCTTAGACAAAATTTAGATCTCTTAGATGTATAATGCAATTCATATAATGCGCGTGTAATAACATTACATTTTACATTTTAGTCATTTAGCAGACGCTCTTATCCAGAGCGACTCACAGTTAGTGAGTGCATACATTTTCATACTTAACATGACATTGAATGGTGTGGTAGCCAATCATTGATAGATTATTATCATTATATAATAGTTCAGGTGGAAATATTCATTATGCCAATAAATGCAAAATGCACCAATTTGTGGCCTGTAACCAGAGATTTTGTACAAAATCACTGTGTGATTTACCTGGTACGGTTGCCCTCACTCAACATGGCGACTGCTTAGCTTCATCACGGTGAAGCCATTTTGCCATCACTATCTTTGACCTATGAACCCCAGAGTGTGGCAGCGCTCCGCCATATTGACTGTTGTCTTGACTGGAGAAGATAGGGCGCGTTTGTGATCCTAGAAGAATCGAAACCGTGCTTTTAAACACCTCTAAACTAGTCCAACCTTGGTCAAAGGATATCTCCGACACCTGCGTGATGGCGAGGAAAAAAAGCAAACAGCAAGGAGTCGGGAGCAAGGAGCTGGTGGCCGTACAACAGAACATATCGAAGAGCCCCGTATCTCCCGGAGATGCAGCTGGCGGTGGTGGCGGAGATGCAGGGCTGGAGAGACTGGCCGCCAGGGCGAACCAGGTAACGTTTAGCTAGCCGCAAACATAACTAGTGGGCTAACTAAAAGGTTTGCTAACCTACCAATCAGTTAGGGCCATCCTGTATTTCTGCTAATTCCTTGATTTATTTTTTGATGGCTGATTGGGGATTCTAGCTAGTTAAGTTGCATAACTAATTAGTGTTCCAGGGTTGTATTTTTGTTCATTTACTATTTCTGGTCGGGGCGTAGTGATATCTAGCTCCACTTACATTTTACATTTTAGTCATTTTAGCAGACGCTCTTATCCAGAGCGATTTACAGGTTAGTTGCTTAATAAATAATTCAAACTCAGCCAGTGTTGTAAATTGTGCAACCTATAAATAAAAGACCCATTCACATTAGTTTTAGCCAACAAGGCTAGCTAGCTAGCTAACGACATCCAGTCTGCATTTGCTGGTAGTAGTTAGTGTCAGGCGCAAGATTGACATTGTTGCCACAGACACGTCGTAAAATGTTGCCTATCGAATTTGTATCTAGCTTGTTAGCGCCTAGCCCGCGGTGGTATTGCAAGTTTGCTGACATTCAATCTCACTTGGCAGCTAGTACACAATATACTGTGCACCGGTACTGTAACTACATGTGCTAGCTAGTTGACTAACAAACTACATCCCGGGGATATTTACCTGGCTAGCTGTAAATAGTGTTAACGTTTAGCTAGCACCATGCATGGCTTGCTTTGTGAAGTTTGCACTTTGCAAACGTGTGCACTTTCTCTGCACACATTTCTACTCTCAAGTGTCATATGCATGCGTCGAAGTTTTTACATAAACGTTACATGGACGCCCTTGTAGGTGTATGGGGTTTTGTGGTAAACAAAGTTTACTGTACCAGAAGACCACTAGCTTGTGTGGACCTGGGCCACATTAAATCACTACATACTAACCACTGTGTTTTGTAAGAAACCACTGTGCATGTGGCAAGCTGCCTCCATGGTCAACTTTTGCTTCCTCTTTGCAATACAGATGTTGTTGTGATCATTGTCAACATGGTGAGATCTTACTCGTGAAATTCTAATCTCTGTGTTAAAAATCTGACCTTTGATCAGTGTCCAGGGGGCAACTTCATCATACTCCATGTCCATCTCACTAACATCCACCTCTCCTCAGATCCCATCCTCTTCTCCACCCCTAATCTTATTGACCAAAAAAAGTCCCGTCTCCCCCATCTTCCACCAACCCCACTTCCTCAAGCACCATGCCAGCACATCAAAAGCTATGCGCGCACCACCATACCTAGAGCTACACCGCCCACAGTCAGACGTCATATCACCCCACCCCACTTTCGACCCACCAACCATCTCTTCTGCACACACCACCACGCTCCTCTCGTCTTCTTGGTCCAGCCCACATCCTCTCTTCTCTCCCCAACCTCCTCTCTCTCCTCATCCTCCTCCCTCTCCTCCTCTTCTCTCCCCCACTCCTCTCTCTTCCCTACTCCCCATCCTCCTCCTCTCTTCTCTCCCCCATCCTCCTCTCTTCTCTCCCCCATCATCCTCTCTTCTCTCCCCCATCCCCATCCTCTCTTCTCGTCCTTCACCTAGATGATTGACCTCCTCTCTCCTCCTCTCTTCCTGTCCTTCACCGAAACTCAGCAAAAAAAGAAACATCCCTTTTCAGGACCCTGTCTTTCAAAGATAATTTGTAAAATCCAAATAACTTCACAGATTTTAATTGTAAAGGGTTTAAACACTGTTTCCCATGCTTGTTCAATGAACCATAAACAATTAATGAACATGCACCTGTGGAACGGTCGTTAAGCCACTAACAGCTTACAGACGGTTGCAATTTAAGGTCACAGTTATGAAAATTTAGGACACTAAAGAGGCCTTTCTACTGACTCTGAAAAACACCAAAAGAAAGGTGCCAAGGGTCCCTGCTCATCTGCGTGAACGTGCCTTAGGCATGCTGCAAGGAGGCATGAGGACTGCAGATGTGGCCAGGGCAATAAATTGCAATGTCCGTACTGTGAGACGCCTAAAACAGCGCTACAGGGAGACAGGACGGACAGCTGATCGTCCTCATAGTGGCAGACCACGTGTAACAACACCTGCACAGGATCGGTACATCCGAACATCACACCTGCGGGACAGGTACTGGATGGCAACAACAACTGCCCGAGTTACACCAGGAACGCACAATCCCTCCATCAGTGCTCAGACTGTCCGCAATAGGCTGAGAGAGGCTGGACTGAGGGCTTGTAGGCCTATTGTAAGGCAGGTCCTCACCAGACATCACCGGCAACAACGTTGCCTATGGGCACAAACCCACCGTCGCTGGACCAGACAGGACTGGCAAAAAGTGCTCTTCACTGACGAGTCACGGTTTTGTCTCACCAGGGGTGATGGTCGGATTCGTGTTTATCATCTAAGGAATGAGCGTTACACCGAGGCCTGTACTCTGGTGCGGGATCGATTTGGAGGTGGAGGGTCCGTCATGGTCTGGGGCGTTGTGTCACAGCATCATCGGACTGAGCTTGTTGTCATTGCAGGCAATCTCAACGCTGTGCGTTACAGGGAACACATCCTCCTCCCTCATGTGGTACCCTTCCTGCAGGCTCATCCTGACATGACCCTCCAGCATGAAAATGACACCAGCCATACTGCTCGATCTGTGCGTGATTTCCTGCAAGACAGGAATGTCAGTGTTCTGCCATGGCCAGCGAAGATCCCATTCTCAATCCCATTGAGCACGTCTGGGACCTGTTGGATCGGAGGGTGAAGGCTAGGGCCATTCCCCACAGAAATGTCAGGGAACTTGCAGGTGCCTTGGTGGAAGAGTGGGGTAACATCTCACAGCAAGAACTGGCAAATCTGGTGCAGTCCATGAGGAGGAGATGCACTGCAGTACTTAATGCAGCTGGTGGCCACACCAGATACTGACAGTTACTTTTGATTTTGACCCCCCCCCCCCCCCCCCTTTGTTCAGGGACACATTATTCAATTTCTGTTAGTCACATGTCTGTGGAACTTGTTCAGTTTATGTCTCAGTTGTTGAATCTTGTTATGTTCATACAAATATTTACACATGTTAAGTTTGCTGAAAATAAACGCAGTTGACAGTGAGAGGACGCTTCTTTTTTTGCTGAGTTTAGATGATTGACCTCTCTCTCCTCCTCTCTTCCTGTCCTTCACCTAGATGATTGACCTCTCTCCTCTCTTCCTGTCCTTCACCTAGATGATTGACCTCTCTTCCTGTCCTTCACCTAGATGATTGACCTCTCTTCTCTCTTCCTGTCCTTCACCTAGATGATTGACCTCTCTTCCTGTCCTTCACCTAGATGATTGACCTCTCTTCCTGTCCTTCACCTAGATGATTGACCTCTCTCTCCTCCTCTCCGCTCCATTCCTAATGTTACTGACTCACCTCTCTGTCGCTCTCCCCCAGCCGATGCACACCTGCTGCCTCCTGTGTCATCGTGAGTTTAAGGACTGGGGGGCGAGCTCTGACAACGGTCTGCCTGGGGGCCACGGGGCGAAGCTAGCCGATGCTGTCCCAGCCCTGTCCCAGGCCCTGCTCAGAGAGGTGCCGGGCCGGAAGCTGTCCGACACCGTGCCTTCACTGAGCCAGTCTCTACTGGGAGAGGTGCCGCTATGGATCTGCCAGAGCTGCCGGAAGAGCGTTGAGGAAGAGGAGAGACAGAGCGCACAGGAAACGTCTGCACCGGTAAGAGGGGGAGGGAGGAGGTAGGGGAGAGACGGAGCGCCCAGGAGACGCCCGCACTGGTAGGAGGGGAAGGAAAGTAGGGGAGTGGAAAAGAGAGGAGAAGAGCGAGAAGAGCGCCCAGGAGACTTCTGCACTGCTGAATATTACAAGACCATGCAACTCAAGCTATCCCAGTATTAGCACTAACTACAGTTACATGAATACCCATGTTACAGCTCGCTAGCTATGGGCTGTGTGCTACAATAGGGCGTATGTCTGGTCACCTCATCCACCAACAAGCTGAAAGGCACTGGATTTGGTGATGATGAAACCTGCACCATTCTCCAACTGTGGATGGATACAGGCAGCTTCAGTACTGTTATCCTGTGGCTGTTTATGTGGTGCTTCAGTGGTCCATTCTGCATGGCTAAATGAATACCACATCTAAGGATCCTGACATCGTAAGATTAGTCTCTTCTAAAGCTGTTTGTTCTCTGTCGGACTTGGCCTTCTCTCGTCACAAGCAGAGGTCCGCTGAGGTAGACTTATTCATGTGGATTCAGCACAAGAACTGTTCGTCGGGAGCTTCATGAAATGGGTTTTTCCATGGCCGAGCAGCCACACACATGCCTAAGATCACCATGCGCAATGCCAAGCGTCAGCTGGAGTGGTGTAAAGCTCACCGCCATTGGACTCTGGAGCAGTGGAAAGTGATAAATCACGCTTCACCAATTTTGGGGAAGGCCCTTTCCTGTTTCAGCATGACAATGCCGCCGTGCACAAGGTGAGGTCTATACAGAATGGTTTGTTGAGATCGGTGTGGAAGAACTTGACTGGCCTGCACAGCCCTGACCTCAACCCCTTCGAACACCTTTGGGATGAATTGGAACGTCGACCGCGAGCCAGGCCTAATCGCCCAACATCAGTGCCCGACCTCACTAATGCTCTTGTGGCTGAATGGAAGCAAGTCCCCGCAGCAATGTTCCAACATCTAGTGGAAAGCCTTCCCAGAAGAGTGGAGGCTGTTATAGCAGCAAAGGGGGGACCAACTCCATATTAATGCCCATGATTTTGGAATGAGATGTTCAGGTGTCCACATACTTTTGGTCATGGAGTGTAACTAGTCTTGTCAGAGCCAGACCGGCCCATAGGGTGGGAGTAGAGCTGGGATGATAAACCCAAAATGATTGACACTGATTTATCACAGGCATTTTGTCTGATATCATTCATTATGATAAGTAGTTTACTAGAGAAATGTGAAGTTTGAAATCAACTGTGGATCACATTATTCACAGGGCAGGAGTCTATCTCCTGTTTCTGTAGAGTGAACCAGAACGGCCCATAGGGCAGGAGACTATCTCCTGTTTCTGTAGAGTGAACCAGAACGGCCCACAGGGCAGGAGACTATCTCCTGTTTCTGCAGAGTGAACCAGAACGGCCCATAGGGCAGGAGTCTACCTCCTGTTTCTGCAGAGTGAACCAGAACGGCCCACAGGGCAGGAGACTATCTCCTGTTTCTGTAGAGTGAACCAGAACGGCCCACAGGGCAGGAGACTATCTCCTGTTTCTGTAGAGTGAGGCAGCTTGATGTACCAGTACAACCCTAGCCTAGACAGGACGCTAGTCTATCGCAGGCGTCTTGGCAAGGTCATGTAAATGACAAGGAAAAATGGGACCGTCTTGGTGAGGTCAGGAGAAACTCAGGGCTCTGCCTCTCAACCTGAGCTAATGGCTTCTCTCCTGTCCGTAGTTAAATGCTACGCACATCCAGGAGACTGCTCAAGTGCTTATTCAACTCCTCTCCTCTATCCTCTAACTTTTACTCAGGTGTTTGCTGTAAAACAGAATGTGTTCTGGTAAAACTAGAGTCATTTGTATTTATTATGGATCCCCATTAGTTCCTGCCAAGCCGGCAGCTACTCTTCCTGGGGTTTATTATGGATCCCCATTAGTTCCTGCCAAGGCAGCAGCTACTCTTCCTGGGGTCCAGCAACATTAAGGCAGTTATATACCATGGTAATATTTTAAATGACATTACATTTCATAACACTTTTCACAACATATTAAGTGTGTTCCCTCAGGCCACTACTCCACTATCACATATCTACAATACAGAATCCATGTGTAGGTGTGTGTATGGAGTGCGTGTCTTATGGTGTGTGTTTCTTCACAGTCCCCGCTGTTCCATAAGGTGTATTTTTATCTGTTTTTTTAATCTAATTCTACTGCTTGCATCAGTTACCTGATGTGGAATAGAGATCCATGTAGTCATGGCTCTATGTAGTACTGTGTGCCTCCCATAGTCTGTTCTGGACTTGGGGACTGTGAAGAGACCTCCGGTGTCATGTCTTGTGGGGTATGCATGGGTGTCCGAGCTGTGAGCTAGTAGTTTAAACAGACAGCTCGGTGCTTTCAACATGTCAATACCTCTCACAAACACAAGTAGTGATGAAGTCAATCTCTCCTCCACTTTGAGACAGGAGAGATCGACATGCATATTATTAATGTTAGCTCTCTGTGTACATCCAAGGTCCAGCCGTGCTGCCCTGTTCTGAGCCAATTGCAATTTTCCTGAGTCCCTCTTTGTGGAACCTGACCACACGACTGAACAGTAGTCCAGGTGTAACAAAACTAGGGCCTGTAGGACCTGCCTTGTTGATAGTGCTGTTAAGAATGCAGAGCAGCGCTTTATTATGGACAGACTTCTCCCCATCTTAGCTACTGTTGTATTAAAATGTTTTGATCAGGACAGTTTACAATCCAGGGTTACTCCAAGCAGTTTAGTCTCCTCAACTTGCTCAATTTCCACATTATTTATTACAATATTTAGTTGAGGTTTAGGGGTTAGTGAATGATTTGTCCCAAATACAATGCTTTTAGTTTTAGAAATATTTAGGACTAACTTATTCCTTGCTACCCACTCTGAAACTAACTGCAGCTTTTTGTTAAGTGTTGCAGTGATTTCACTGGCTGACGTGTATAGTGTTGAGTTATCCGCATACATCCGCATACATCGACACTCTGACTTTATCCACAATATAGCAGGGGGTGTAAAGCCATAACACATACGTTTTTCCAGCAACAGACTATGATCAATAATGTCAAAAGCCGCACTGAAGTCTAACAAAACAGCCCCCACAATGTTTTTATCATACATTTCTCTCAGCCAATCATCAGTCATTTGTGTAAGTGCTGTGCTTGTTGAATGTCCTTCCCTATAAGCGTGCTGAAAGTTTGTGTCAATTTGTTTACTGTAAAATAGCATTGTATCTGGTCAAACACCATTTTTCCCAGAAGGTCACCAAGGGTTGGTAACAGGCTGATTGGTCGGCTATTTGAGCCAGTAAAGGGGGATTTACTATTCTTAGGTAGGGGAATGACTTTTGCTTCCCTCTAAGCCTGAGGGAACACACATTATAGTAGGCTTAAATTGAAGATGTGGCAAATAGGAGTGGCAATATCGTCCGCTATTATCCTCAGTAATAAAGCTGTCAGACCCCGGTGGCTTATCATTGTTGATAGACGACAATAATTTTTTTCACCTCTTCCACACTCACTTTACTGAATTCAAAATTACAACGCTTGTCTTTCATAATTTGGTCAGATATACTTGGATGTGTAGTGTCAGCGTTTGTTGCTGGCATGTCATGCCTCAGTTTGCTAATCTTGCCAATGAAAAAAACATTAAAGTAGTTGGCAATATCAGTGGGTTTTGTGATGACTGAGCCATCTGATTTAAATGAATGCTCCATTTAAGGTGCTCCAAAAGCGTTTTTACTATAATTTTTTATGTCATTTATCTTTGTTTCATAGTGTAGTTTCTTCTTCTTTTTATTCAGTTTAGTCACATGATTTCTCAATTTGCAGTACGTTTTGCCAACCGGTTGTGCAGCCAGACTTACTTGCCATTCCTTTTGCCTCATCCCTCTCAACCAGACCATTTTTCAATTCCTCATCAATCCACTGGGATTACTTTTTTTTTTTTTTACAGTCATTTTCTTAATGGGTGCATGCTTATTAGTAATTGAAATAAGCAATTTCATAAATGTGTCAAGTGCAGTGTCTGTTTGCTCCTCATTACACACCACGGACCAACATATATTATCAAACATGGGAATCACTACAAAACTTATTGTATGACCTCTTATACACTATATTAGGCCCAGCCTTTGGAACTTTGGTTTTCCTAGATATGGCTACTATATTGTGATCACTACACCCGATGGATCTGGATACTGCTTTCAAACAAATTTCTGCAGCATCAGTAAAGATGTGATCAATACATGTTGATGATTTCCTTCCTGTGCTGTTTGTAACCACCCTGATAGGTTGACTGATAACCTGAACCAGGTTTGCAGGCACTAGTTACAGTTTGAATCTTTCTCTTGAGTGGGCAGCTTGCTGAAAGCCAGTCAATATTTAAATCACCCAGAAAAATACCTCTCTGTTTATCACATGCATTATCATGCATTTCACACACATTATCCAGATACTGACTGTCAGCACTTGGTGGTCTATAGCAGCTTCCCACCAGAATGGGCTTTAGGTGAGGCAGATGAACCTGTAGCCATATTACTTCAACAGTATTTAACATGAGATCCTCTCTAATCTTTACAGGAGTGTGGTTCTGAATATAAACAGTAGTGCGTTGCTTTGACCAGAGCCCTGTAGGCCTTGCTTTGGGCCCTGGTTAAAAGTAGTGTACTGTTTTTGACCCTGAACTAACATCTCTTGTTTCTCCTGTGTCCTCCTCTCCCAGGTACCAGTCAGACGGCTCCAGTTAATGTAAATTTAAAACATTGTCTTCCTCCATTTCTGCTCTGTCTACAGCATCAAATGTTTAGTGGGGAAAAAGGCTGTACCTATCAACCCTTGGCCTGAACCACCATCTTCCCTTTCCCTCCGCCACCAGGTTCCGTTGTCCCACTCATCGTCGTGTAAGGGCCCAGAGTTGTGATAAAACCCGGTTACCCAGAGCAGAGCCCGTAGACTGGGACCCATCCTCCTTCTCTCAGCCCACAAGCTTTCTGGTCTCTGGAAACTCAGGCTCACAAGCAACGGATGGGTGCCACTGGCAACCACAGAACTGGGGGCCTTGCACCACAGCAAGGGGTTAACCCACTGCCTGCACGCACAGCAGGTACACACACCCCATGACCTTGACCCCACACCTCTCTCTCTCTCTCTCTCTCTCTCTTCTCTCTCTGTCTGTTCTCTCTGCTCTCTGTCTCTCTGTCTCTCGGCCTCTCTCTATAAAGGTGAAGTCGTACACAAATGCAAACTAATTTAGACATTTTGTTATTTGGCATGTTTTCAATTAATTTACTTTAACGAAATTGTAACATTTGCAGACATTTAACACTGACAAAATTGAGGGAACTGTACTCGTGTGTAGCTAGCTACTGGCTACCTTGAAACAGCAACACAACATGTTACTCCTCTGAGTAAAACGTTCTCCCTCCCCTCCCTCCTCTGGTCCAATAGGAACAGGGGGACCAACGTGTCACGAGAAGCGAGTCTCTCACGAGGCTCCTGGGAAATCTGCTAAAACGCCTGGGGGCCAAGGTGTGCCCCCTACAGTCACCCTTCCCAGAATTCCAGTGTCGTCCCCGGGAACCCGCTCTCTACCTCCGGGGGACCTCTGTAAGGCCACCCCCAAGCACTTCAAGACCATGTGCCGACGACCAACTCCGCCTGGTGAGGTCTTTTTTTCTCACCCTTTTTAGGACACAGACAACTCAAGACATACCGGCATCTAACTCGAATTACTGTTCACATGTCCCATTGACAATAGTGCATTATTAATGGATACACACGTAGAACTCAAGGAAGGATTGTGCCCATAGATTACACCTCTAGAGAGAAGCAGAGATATGGCCCATAGATTACACCTCTAGATATGGCCCATAGATTACACCTCTAGATATGGCCCATAGCTTACACCATCTAGATATGGCTCCATAGTATTGACACCTCTAGATATGGCCCATAGGATACACCATCTAATATGGCCCATAGATTAACACCCTCTAGATATGGCCCCATAGATTACACCTCTAAGATATGGGCCCATAGATTACACCTCTAGAGAGAAGATTACACCTCTTAGTATGGCCCATAGATTACACCTCTAGATATGGCCCATAGATTACACCTCTAGATATGGCCCATAGATTACACCTCTAGATATGGCCCATAGATTACACCTCTAGATATGGCCCATAGATTACACCTCTAGAGAGAAGCAGAGATATGGCCCATAGATTACACCTCTAGATATGGCCCATAGATTACACCTCTAGAGAGAAGCAGAGATATGGCCCATAGATTACACCTCTAGATATGGCCCATAGATTACACCTCTAGATATGGCCCATAGATTACACCTCTAGATATGGCCCATAGATTACACCTCTAGATATGGCCCATAGATTACACCTCTAGATATGGCCCATAGATTACACCTCTAGATATGGCCCATAGATTACACCTCTAGATATGGCCCATAGATTACACCTCTAGATATGGCCCATAGATTACACCTCTAGATATGGCCCATAGATTACACCTCTAGATATGGCCCATAGATTACACCTCTAGAGAGAAGCAGAGATCTGTAACCACTGGGAATCACAACTATGTTGTCCAATATTCCACTCAACACTTTTGTCTCTCCTCCAGGCGAAGCGTTCCCCCCACGCGACACCACCAACACTCGGACCGTCGGTCCCCCCCAACAGCCCCACTGGCCTCTCCTCCTCTCAGCATTCCTCTCTCCTGCCCCTCAAGCAGAGCTCTGGAGGGCAGCAGCACGGCCATGTCTCCTCCTCCTCCTCCTCCTCCTCCTCTCCCAGTCTAGCTGCTCCCGCTCCCTTCTCCCCGCTGGTACCAAACCTCCACGGCCCCCCGGCAGGGGCCAAGCTGGGTGGCCCTGACTGCCCAACAGGGGCCCTCCATAAGCCCTTGGCCTGTAAGAACTCACACATTCCTCCTGTGAACGGTCAGCACAGCAAACTGGGCCCCTCCCTGATGGGCTGTAATCACCCCTGCAACGGCCACAGTGGGGGGGCACTGCCCTCTTCCAACGTGGGACACCTGACCTCTGGGCAACACCTGACCTCTGGGCAACACCTGACCGCTGGGCAACACCTGACCGCTGGGCAACACCTGACCGCTGGGCAACACCTGACCGCTGGGCAACACCTGACCGCTGGGCAACACCTGACCGCTGGGCAACACCTGAGCGCTGGGCAACACCTGACCGCTGGCGCCTGCAGGTTGGTAGTTTGGTAGATAGTTTCACAGGAATCTGATGGAGAAGAACAATGTAGCTTCATAAAATGTAGTGATAGATACTGTCTAGTGATGAGACGGGTCTGTCTAGTGATGAGACGGGTCTATCTAGTGATGAGACGGGTCTGTCTAGTGATGAGACGGGTCTATCTAGTGATGAGACGGGTCTATCTAGTGATGAGACGGGTCTGTCTAGTGATGAGACGGGTCTGTCTAGTGATGAGACGGGTCTATCTAGTGATGAGACGGGTCTGTCTAGTGATGAGACGGGTCTGTCTAGTGATGAGACGGGTCTGTCTAGTGGATGAGACGGGTCTGTCTAGTGATGAGACGGGTCTGTCTAGTGATGAGACGGGTCTATCTAGTGATGGACGGTCTATCTAGTGATGAGACGGGTCTATCTAGTGATGAGACGGGTCTATCTAGTGATGAGACGGGGGGTCTATCTAGTGATGAGACGGGTCTGTCTAGTGATGAGACGGGTCTATCTAGTGATTGAGACGGGTCTATCTAGTGATGAGACGGGTCTATCTAGTGATGAGACGGGTCTATCTAGTGATGAGACAGGTCTATCTAGTGATGAGACGGGTCTATCTAGTGATGAGACGGGTCTGTCTAGTGATGAGACGGGTCTGTCTAGTGATGAGACGGGTCTATCTAGTGATGAGACGGGTCTATCTAGTGATGAGACGGGTCTATCTAGTGATGAGACGGGTCTGTCTAGTGATGAGACGGGTCTGTCTAGTGATGAGACGGGTCTGTCTAGTGATGAGACGGGTCTATCTAGTGATGAGACGGGTCTATCTAGTGATGAGACGGGTCTATCTAGTGATGAGACGGGTCTATCTAGTGATGAGTGTGCAGTAATAGACTGCTTGGCTAGTATAGGTAGTGTGAGTAAAGATGGTTTCATGGGAGAAAAACAACAACAGGTTTATTATAGAATCTAGTAGGTAAGTACTTGATTCAAGGTTTGTATTCGATTGCTAATAATCGAATACAAGTACTGGAAATGTCCAAACTATTTAGCAGGTTAAATTGATAAGCACTGACTAAATGTCAAACTCTAAGATGTGCTTATTGTTTGGGGAAGTATTGCCCAAATGCGGTGACATTTTTTTTCAATTTAAGTTGTAAATTACAGCACCATTTCACGGTAACATGCGAGGACTTTAAATGATTTGCATGAGATACTGGAACACAGACATTGTTTCAGATGGCCTCCCCTAGAATCTAGTGATAGGACATGGTCGTGGTTCTGTCTGTCATCACATGGTTTCTCTCTGTCACTGTCTGTCCATCTGTCTGTGCTACCTGTTGTCCCCATCCTGTGTCCACTGTCTGTACATCTGTCTGTGCTACCTGTTGTCCCCATCCTGTCTGTCCATCTGTCTGTGCTACCTGTTGTCCCCGTCCTGTCTCCATGCTCCAGGGACCAGGCGTGTAAAGGACACAAGCTGTCTAACGGGGCGGGGGGGTTGTGTCACCCCCCGTCGGAGCTGGACGAGGGAGAGGATGAGGACTCTAGTTCTGAGAGGAGCTCCTGTGCTTCCTCATCAAACAACCAGAAGGATGGGAAGTACTGTGACTGCTGCTACTGTGAGTTCTTCGGACACAACGCGGTATGTACAGGAGGGGGGGGGGGGGGGGGGGGCGGTGGTATGTACAGGAGGGGGGGGGGGGGCGGTATGTACAGGAGTGATGGGGGGGGAAAAGCCATACATATCGGATATGATTTTTGACGATATATTGCAATATTATTTTGGACAATATCACAATATTATTTTTGCGCTAGTCGGCTCTACTTACACCAAAACTCCGGGATTTTTCCTTAATAGCTTCTCTTCTCCTTCTCCTCTTCTTCTTCTTCTCTGTTCTCCAGCTTCTTTTTAAAAAGGGAGCGTCTGTTTCCACAACTGATCAGAACTACACTGCTCAAAAAAATAAAGGGAACACTTAAACAACACAATGTAACTCCAAGTCAATCACACTTCTGTGAAATCAAACTGTCCACTTAGGAAGCAACACTGATTGACAATACATTTCACATGCTGTTGTGCAAATGGAATAGATAACAGGTGGAAATTATAGGCAATTAGCAAGACACCCCCAATAAAGGAGTGGTTCTGCAGGTGGTGACCACAGACCACTTCTCAGTTCCTATGCTTCCTGGCTGATGTTTTGGTCACTTTTGAATGCTGGCGGTGCTTTCACTCTAGTGGTAGCATGAGACGGAGTCTACAACCCACACAAGTGGCTCAGGTAGTGCAGCTCATCCAGGATGGCACATCAATGCGAGCTGTGGCAAGAAGGTTTGCTGTGTCTGTCAGCGTAGTGTCCAGAGCATGGAGGCGCTACCAGGAGACAGGCCAGTACATCAGGAGACGTGGAGGAGGACGTAGGAGGGCAACAACCCAGCAGCAGGACTGCTACCTCTGCCTTTGTGCAAGGAGGAGCAGGAGGAGCACTGCCAGAGCCCTGCAAAATGACCTCCAGCAGGCCACAAATGTGCATGTGTCTGCTCAAACGGTCAGAAACAGACTCCATGAGGGTGGTATGAGGGCCCGACGTCCACAGGTGGGGGTTGTGCTTACAGCCCAACACCGTGCAGGACGTTTGGCATTTGCCAGAGAACACCAAGATTGGCAAATTCGCCACTGGTGCCCTGTGCTCTTCACAGATGAAAGCAGGTTCACACTGAGCACATGTGACAGACGTGACAGAGTCTGGAGACGCCGTGGAGAACGTTCTGCTGCCTGCAACATCCTCCAGCATGACCGGTTTGGCGGTGGGTCAGTCATGGTGTGGGGTGGCATTTCTTTGGGGGGGCCGCACAGCCCTCCATGTGCTCGCCAGAGGTAGCCTGACTGCCATTAGGTACCGAGATGAGATCCTCAGACCCCTTGTGAGACCATATGCTGGTGCGGTTGGCCCTGGGTTCCTCCTAATGCAAGACAATGCTAGACCTCATGTGGCTGGAGTGTGTCAGCAGTTCCTGCAAGAGGAAGGCATTGATGCTATGGACTGGCCCGCCCGTTCCCCAGACCTGAATCCAATTGAGGACATCATGTCTCGCTCCATCCACCAACGCCACGTTGCACCACAGACTGTCCAGGAGTTGGCGGATGCTTTAGTCCAGGTCTGGGAGGAGATCCCTCAGGAGACCATCCGCCACATCATCAGGAGCATGCCCAGGCGTTGTAGGGAGGTCATACAGGCACGTGGAGGCCACACACACTACTGAGCCTCATTTTGACTTGTTTTAAGGACATTACATCAAAGTTGGATCAGCCTGTAGTGTGGTTTTCCGCTTTAATTTTGAGGGTGACTCCAAATCCAGACCTCCATGGGTCGATAAATTTGATTTCCATTGATAATTTTTGTGTGATTTTGTTGTCAGCACATTCAACTATGTAAAGAAAAAAGTATTTATAAGATTATTTCATTTATTCAGATCTAGGATGTGTTATTTTAGTGTTCCCTTTATTTTTTTGAGCAGTGTAGTTTTAATCATGGCTCTCTCGACCTTCTGCAGCAGACATGGGGCGGCCCTAGGGAAACCCTTCACATCGTGAAATATATATTTCTGAAAACTACAAACCGTTCCAAATCCAGATTTTTTTTTTAAATCACAGATTTATTTATCAGAACCCGAGTTATGAGCTTTTAAAGTTCACCAAAGCCAAAAAGTAAAAAACTGCTAAGATTTGTTACGTTGTTTTCTAATTCCGATGAGGCATGAGAGAAGAACTCCGCAGCTTGATTTGTTTCAGAACAGATTGTCATGAGTTATTATTTATAAAGCAGTAACTGCTGGTATTGATGCATGAAATACTCATTACTAGAACTAATGATTACACTGTACAGTAATAGATAAATATACACTATCGTTCAAAAGTTTGGGGTCACTTAGAAATGTCCTTGTTTTTTAAAGAAAATCAAAAAATGTTGTCCATTTTAAAATAACATCAAATTGATCAGAAATACAGTGTAGACATTGTTAATGTTGTAAATGGCTATTGTAGCTGGAAACGGCAGATTTTTTAAATGGAATATCTACATAGAGGTTTGAGAAACAGACGCCTCACAGGTCCTCAACTGGCAGCTTCATTAAATAGTACCCGCAAAACGCCAGTCTCAACGTCAACAATGAAGAGGCGACTCTGGGATGCTGACCTTCTAGACAGAGTTGCAGATAAAAAGTCATATCTCAGACTGGCCAATAAAAATAAAAGATTAAGATGGGCAAAAGAACACAAACACTGGACTTTTTCTTTGCAACTCTGCCTAGAAGGTCAGCATCCCGGAGTCGCCACTTCACAGTTGACGTGTTGCAAAGAGATCTCTAACACAGAGAAACACAAACTACTAGGTTTTCATTCTTACCTGAGCCGAGTGCCCCATGGTGACAGCCACCTTGGATCCGGTGCTGGGCACCAGATCCACAAGCCTGCCCATTCCCTTCACCATCTAACCCTGAGGGGAAAAACATGTTTCAGTGCTTTACCAGTCTTATTTATTTAGGTCCACAATAAAGTCAATTGTCACGGAGACCCAAATGTTTTAAAACACATACATAAAGAAGGGGTTCTCTTCAAACCGCTTTCTCTCATCTCCCTCTCTTTCAGTGAATCAACATTCACTTGTTAGCTAGCTAATTTGTTTTGTGTGATACAGGGATGAAAAATACCATGGCTGGTGAAATAGGCAGTGAAACATTTAGGCTAGCGTTAACTATAGCAGCCTGTAGCTCAGTTGGTAGAGCATGGCGTTTGCGACGCCAGGGTTGTGGGTTCGATTCCCACGGGGGGCCAGTATGAAAAATGTATGCACTCACTTAACTGTAAGTCGCTCTGGATAAGAGCGTCTGCTAAAATGACTAAAATGTATTCAATAGTACTGTGGCTATAGCCTACCTTGAACAATACTACAAAGTAGAGGCAGGTAGCGAAGGCCTGATACTTGATCAAGTCTAGCTAATGCACTGTGTGACGGGCCAAAAACATGAGTTGGAGCACTCGGCAAAAAAAAGTAGATTGCTTTTCTTTTAGCTCACTGTAGTCCGTTGTACAGGATGGGATAGAGCTCACTGTAGTCCGTTGTACAGGATGGGATAGCGATTCACGAGATCTAGATTTTTATAATACACTACTGTAGAAATAAGCTGTGTTGTACAATTAATGGTCAAATACACTGTGTTTAAAACAGTCTGCAATAATCTAATGAATTCAGAGCTTGTGAAATTATACCTAGGCTGAATACATGCCTTCCAAAACCATAAGACCCACTAATAATGTAATTATTTTATCAAAATAGTTTTACCTGCTTTTTGTTGTTGTTGCAATAATCACTTATCTGGCTTTCAAGTCTGGCTATAACATTTCCCTTTTTGTTCCAAATTTAACCAGAACCATGCATAATGCACATTCACTAATAATGTAGCAGACATTATAGAAAATGAACACCGGTCTCATAAACTTTCTCCTAAACACAAGCCCACGTGCTAGTGAGTAGCCAGCTGATCAAGCCCACGTCCTAGTGAGTGGCCAGCTAATCTTCATATTTCAAGTTTAGCCAACTTGGATCTGGGTATAATGTCACCAGCTCTGAATTCAGCTAAAAAGGCAAACCAGTTGAATTGTTATGAACACAACCTTCTGTCCGTCTCCAACTGTTTGAACAGCATGCTAGCCTGTCCACTTTGCTCAGATGTTGAAATCAAGAGGCCTGCCTTATTTCACAGAATGAGAACGAGTTGTCAATTCCTTATTGAATCGTTTTATGCTTATTGCACATTTTATAAAAACACAGACTAAACAGCTAGTATAACAAACTTTTATTTGACAGAAATTCTGCTAGCGATACGTGGTACCATAATACGTGCGCGACAAACTGAGCATACATTTTCCAGAGTGAATGTTCGTTGGTACATCCGTTTTAGTAGCGTCTGCTCTGCTCTAAATTTGAAGAGTTGAAACATAAACAGGATATGGTTCTCCTCTATTACGGTAAATGTAATGTCTCAATGTGTTTTGGTGTCCATATGACCAATTCTGTTGGACCAAACCTCAAATGCAAATAGCGATTTGAAACCATTTGTCAGAGTGGAAGAAAGTGGTCTCTCATCTTTGTTGTTGTGAGTGTTAGGGGCTTGGGAGAAAGAGGAGAAGCGAGAGGTTTCACTCTCGGCTAAATCTGTCCAAAAAGACAACATGAGAATAAACCGACAAACGCTCATAAAAACGAAAAATACAACAAAAAAAAATAGATTCTGCGATACAGGCATTTGGTATATCGCGCAAAAACATATATATTCAAATGAATTAAATTAATTTGATATATTGCCCAGACCTAGGATGTGAACAGGTGACTGACGTTTCGACGTCAAGCTGACGTCTTCCTCAGTGACCTGACCATTGCACTTGGCTCCTATTTCTAGCCTAGTGGCCATTATGACACAACAATGCAAGAGAAGAACAATGTTAAATTATCAAAATACTACTAAGAGATAGTGTCTGGTTAACCAATAGGCCGTGTCAAAATACACATAAGTGATATTTGGGTCTCGTGTCAAAATATACATAAGTGATATTTGGGTGTCTGTGAATCAGGAGACACAGAGACCCAAAACATCAATGCTACAACATTTATAGAAACGAGGACAGTCAAACATCATCGCTTAGCCCCTTAGGATCCACAGTGTCTAAGGAGTACTGCCCCTTAGGATCCCCAGTGTCTAAGGAGTACTGCCCCTTAGGATCCACAGTGTCTAAGGAGTACTGTCCCTTAGGATGCACAGTGTCTAAGGAGTACTGCCCATTAGGATCCACAGGGTCTAAGGAGTACTGCCCCTTAGGATCCACAGTGTCTAAGGAGTACTGCCCCTTAGGATCCACAGTGTCTAAGGAGTACTGTCCATTTAGGATCCACAGTGTCTAAGGAGTACTGCCCCTTAGGATCCACAGTGTCTAAGGAGTACTGCCCCTTAGGATCCGCAGTGTCTAAGGAGTACTGCCCCGTAGGATCCACAGTGTCTAAGGAGTACTGTCCATTTAGGATCCGCAGTGTCTAAGGAGTACTGCCCATTAGGATCCACAGTGTCTAAGGAGTACTGCCCCTTAGGATCCGCAGTGTCTAAGGAGTACTGCCAGAATGCCTCGTTTTAGTGTACGTACGATGTCACCTCCTCTTGGTGAAATGTGGACGTCTTCTATGGTTACAAAGCGCAGGGAGGAAGGTGAGCCATGGTTGGCTTCGATGCAGTGGCGCAAAATATCATAGTCTGTGTTTTTATTTCGAATAGCAAGCCTTATGTTCTGCGGAGTTTCAATGCCTGTTTAGTTTGACCAATAGAAGCAGCCCCACAGATGCATTTGAGCATGTATATGACGTGGTGTACTTAACTAGCTAACTAACTAGCTAACTAGCATAACATACCTTGCTTGTTCCTCGTTGAAGATGCTGTCATCTCCATCCATGATGAGGTGACAGACGATCATATAAAATAATCCTTGATTAAACGGTGACCCAGAGCTGTCAGCTCAAAGTAATGAAGAGTAACTCAATGCAACAAGCAGCATGGCTATTTATCTGAGAAGTCAGCTTCGACATGATTGATTGACTAACTAGAAAGAGACTGGGTGGGCTACGATGACAGGAGCCCAATCCCCTGTGCACTCGTTCTCACCCCCCTCAAAGATCAAAAGCAGTGGATTGGTGTAACTGTTCTATCCAATACTTTTCCATCTTTGAGGGGAACTGCCAGGGCTAGCAAAGAAATGGGTTGCGGCTCAAAATGACAGATAATGACAGCAAATTAAAGATAGGATATGAATTGCTTTGCTACCTAAAATCTAAATAATTCTGAACTGCTGAAATTACTGCAATACTGTTCATATATTTAGTTGACTTTTCGTGTCATTTTGACCATCTGATCAAGCAACATCAGAAGTAAGTGTGAACCTCGTATGAACGATAGCGCCGGTGTACGGCAACTTGTAGACAAAATGAAAATCCGACCCACTTGACTCATAACTACATTGTTGATTTGTAAATTACAACATTATACTACTACATGACTAACTAGCCAGCTAATTATTCTGTGTCTAAACCAGCCTGACTTTATTGACTTGTAGCATGTTATCTTAATAATAATAATAATAAATATAATATGCCATTTAGCAGACGCTTTTATCCAAAGCGACTTACAGTCATGCGTGCATACATTTTTACGTATGGGGTGGTCCCGGGGATCGAACCCACTACCCTGGCGTTACAAGCGCCACGCTCTACCAGCTGAGCTACAGAGGGCCAAGTGAGCTGCGACACTCTCAGGGAAGTTTGAGCTAGCGTTTTCACATTGAGCATGCTAGCTAATTACAATAAAGAAAAGGTTTTAAAGTATCCAAAACAACCAAAATCACAATTTCCACAAAAACAGATTTGGCTTTATCCCAACAGTGAGTCGGCGCAACATCCGACGGGTTCTCGTAGGTCGCTTCACAATATGGTGAGTCATACAGTGGGGAAAAAAAGTATTTAGTCAGCCACCAATTGTGCAAGTTCTCCCACTTAAAAAGATGAGAGAGGCCTGTAATTTTCATCATAGGTACACGTCAACAAAATGAGATTTTTTTCCCAGAAAATCACATTGTAGGATTTTTAATGAATTTATTTGCAAATTATGGTGGAAAATAAGTATTTGGTCAATAACAAAAGTTTCTCAATACTTTATTATATACCCTTTGTTGGCAATGACACAGGTCAAACGTTTTCTGTAAGTCTTCACAAGGTTTTCACACACTGTTGCTGGTATTTTGGCCCATTCCTCCATGCAGATCTCCTCTAGAGCAGTGATGTTTTGGGGCTGTCGCTGGGCAACACGGACTTTCAACTCCCTCCAAAGATTTTCTATGGGGTTGAGATCTGGAGACTGGCTAGGCCACTCCAGGACCTTGAAATGCTTCTTACGAAGCCACTCCTTCGTTGCCCGGGCGGTGTGTTTGGGATCATTGTCATGCTGAAAGACCCAGCCACGTTTCATCTTCAATGCCCTTGCTGATGGAAGGAGGTTTTCACTCAAAATCTCACAATACATGGCCCCATTCATTCTTTCCTTTACACGGATCAGTCGTCCTGGTCCCTTTGCAGAAAAACAGCCCCAAAGCATGATGTTTCCACCCCCATGCTTCACAGTAGGTATGGTGTTCTTTGGATGCAACTCAGCATTCTTTGTCCTCCAAACACGGCGAGTTGAGTTTTTACCAAAAAGTTCTATTTTGGTTTCATCCGACCATATGACATTCTCCCAATCCTCTTCTGGATCATCCAAATGCACACTAGCAAACTTCAGACGGGCCTGGACATGTACTGGCTTAAGCAGGGGGACACGTCTGGCACTGCAGGATTTGAGTCCCTGGCGGCGTAGTGTGTTACTGATGGTAGGCTTTGTTACTTTGGTCCCAGCTCTCTGCAGGTCATTCACTAGGTCCCCCCGTGTGGTTCTGGGATTTTTGCTCACCGTTCTTGTGATCATTTTGACCCCACGGGGTGAGATCTTGCGTGGAGCCCCAGATCGAGGGAGATTATCAGTGGTCTTGTATGTCTTCCATTTCCTAATAATTGCTCCCACAGTTGATTTTTTCAAACCAAGCTGCTTACCTATTGCAGATTCAGTCTTCCCAGCCTGGTGCAGGTCTACAATTTTGTTTCTGGTGTCCTTTGACAGCTCTTTGGTCTTGGCCATAGTGGAGTTTGGAGTGTGACTGTTTGAGGTTGTGGACAGGTGTCTTTTATACTGATAACAAGTTCAAACAGGTAACGAGTGGAGGACAGAGGAGCCTCTTAAAGAAGAAGTTACAGGTCTGTGAGAGCCAGAAATATTGCTTGTTTGTAGGTGACCAAATACTTATTTTCCACCATAATTTGCAAATAAATTCATAAAAAATCCTACAATGTGATCTGGATTTTTTTTTTCTCAATTTGTCTGTCATAGTTGACGTGTACCTATGATGAAAATTACAGGCCTCTCTCATCTTTTTAAGTGGGAGAACTTGCACAATTGGTGGCTGACTAAATACTTTTTTTCCCCACTGTATGTTTGGAACGTCGAACCGCAATAAAATCGCAGTCTCGAATTGCAAGACGTATAGAATCGTGAGGTCCCTGGAAATTCTCAGCCCTAATGTATAGTATGGTACAATTGGCTAATTTATTGAAATAGCATTAAAAGCATGAACAATATAAACAGTGAGTAACAAAAGTAATGTTTGACTTCTGCTCCTGTGAGTTCTTTGACACACTTTAGTAATGGATTGTAATTGTAATAGCATTTATGAGCACTTTTCACTTGGCCATATTGCGTTCATGTTGGGGCCGAATGTAAACCCATTGGTTGTTAAATGTGAAATCAGGTGACCTGGGAGTGGTCTAGTGCGGTCTTAGCTGCCTCTGGAGCACATGTAAGATGTACTGCTGCCAGCATGGGTTGGAATCCCACCCACTGCTCTTTCAGCACTCTCTCTCCTACCTTTCATCTTGGTCTCTCTCCAGCCAATGAACATACAACAACAAAAAGAGAAATCAGATTGTGGCTGGGTTTCAATCCACCAAATGCTCCCTCCCTTCTGCCGTTCCTTCCCCTGTATCTGAGATGACTGGATAGTTTCTGCCGTGTTACGGTCTGTCCAGCCTTCTCAGATGTCTGAAAGGGAGTGAACAAGGGCAAAGGAAGGGAGCAAGTTATTGAAATGAAATGCATCCTATTGAAGGAAATTCTCTCCTCTGATCATGTCCTCTCTTCCCTCCAGCCCCCGGCGGCTCCGACCAGCCGCAACTACACAGAGATCCGTGAGAAGCTTCGGTCCCGTCTGACGCGTCGTAAGGAGGAGTGTCTTCCCCAGAGACGGGAGTCTGACCCGGCCGTGTCCACCTCCATCGACCACCGAGACGTGGACGAGCTGATGGACTTCATCAACTCCTCAGAGCACAAACCGGCCAACAGTGCTAAGGCTGCCAAGCGGGCGCGACATAAACAGAAGAAGAAGGTGATGTCAAATGACCTGGTGGGAATACTGCAATACAGATCAGTTAATACATCTTTAACGGTTTGGTGTTTCTTTGGAACATCTACATGTGTATTTGTGTAAGTAGTACGTAATATTTCTAGTAATCGCCTGTTTCTGTAGTGAGACAGCTTGATGTACAGTACACCCCCTGGACAGGACACTAGTCTATCTCCTGTTTCTGTAGTGAGACAGTTTGATGTACAGTACACCCCCTGGACAGGACACTAGTCTATCTCCTGTTTCTGTAGTGAGACAGCTTGATGTACCAGTACACCCCCTGGACAGGACACTAGTCTATCTCCTGTTTCTGTAGTGAGACAGCTTGATGTACCAGTACACCCCCTGGACAGGACACTAGTCTATCTCCTGTTTCTGTAGTGACACAGCTTGATGTACAGTTACACCCCCTGGACAGGACACTAGTCTATCTCCTGTTTTCTGTAGTGAGACAGCTTGATGTACAGTACACCCCCTGGACAGGACACTAGTCTATCTCCTGTTTCTGTAGTGAGACAGCTTGATGTACAGTACACCCCCTGGACAGGACACTAGTCTATCTCCTGTTTCTGTAGTGAGACAGCTTGATGTACCAGTACACCCCTGGACAGGACACTAGTCTATCTCCTGTTTCTGTAGTGAGACAGCTTGATGTACAGTACACCCCCTGGACAGGACACTAGTCTATCTCCTGTTTCTGTAGTGAGACAGCTTGATGTACAGTACACCCCCTGGACAGGACACTAGTCTATCTCCTTTTCTGTAGTGAGACAGCTTGATGTACCAGTACACCCCCTGGACAGGACACTAGTCTATCTCCTGTTTCTGTGTGAGACGCTTGATGTCGTACACCCCCTGGACCAGGACACTAGTCTATCTCCTGTTTCTGTAGTGAGACAGCTTGATGTACAGTACACCCCTGGACAGGACACTAGTCTATCTCCTGTTTCTGTAGTGAGACAGCTTGATGTACAGTACACCCCTGGACAGGACACTAGTCATCTCCTGTTTCTGTAGTGAGACAGCTTGATGTACGTCACCCCTGGACAGGACACTAGTCTATCTCCTGTTTCTGTAGTGAGACAGCTTGATGTACAGTCCAACCCCTGGACAGGACACTAGTCTATCTCCTGTTTCTGTAGTGAGCAGCTTGATGTACAGTCACACCCCCTGGACAGGACACTAGTCTATCTCCTGTTTCTGTAGTGAGCAGCTTGATGTACAGTACACCCCCTGGACAGGAACTAGTCTATCTCCTGTTTCTGTAGTGAGACAGCTTGATGTACAGTACACCCCTGACAGTGTCTACCCTGAGTGTTGTTACTAATGCCTAATATGAATTATAATGGAAAGTAACCACATTTTCATAGTTGTAATTACATGTATTCTGTCTGTGTACTCGTCTGTCTGTCTAACCGCCTGTCTGTCTGTGTACTCGTCTGTCTGTCTAACCATCTGTCTGTCTGTCTAACCGCCTGTCTGTCTGTCTAACGGCCTGTCTGTCTGTCTAACCGCCTGTCTGTCTGTCTAACCGCCTGTCTGTCTGTCTAACCGCCTGTCTGTCTGTCTAACCCTGTCTGTCTGTCTAACCGCCTGTCTGTCTGTCTAACCGCCTGTCGTCTGTCAACCGCCTGTTGTCTGTCTAACAGCCTGTCTGTCTGTCTAACCGCCGTCTGTTGTCTAACCGCCTGTCGTCTGTCTAACCGCCTGTCTGTCTGTTAACCGCCGTCTGTCTGTCTAACCGTCTGTCTAACTGCCTGTCTGTCTGTCTAACCGTCTGTCTAACGTCGTTGTCTGTCTAACTGCTGTCTGTCTGTCTAACTGCTGTCTGTCTGTCTAACCGCCTGTCTGTCTATCTAACCTGTCTGTCGTCTGTCTAACCGTCTGTCTGTTGTCAACTGCTGTCTGTCTGTCTGTCTGTCTAACTGCCTGTCTGTTGTCTAACTGCTGTCGTCTGTCTAACTGCCTTCTGTCTGTCTAACTGCCTGTCTGTCTGTCTAACTGCCTGTCTGTCTGTCTAACTGCCTGTCTGTCTGTCTAACTGCCTGTCTGTCTGTCTAACTGCCTGTCTGTCTGTCTAACTGCCTGTCTGTCTGTCTAACTGCCTGTCTGTCTGTCTAACTGCCTGTCTGTCTGTCTAACTGCCTGTCTGTCTGTCTAACCGCCTGTCTGTCTGTCTACCATCTGTCTGTCTGTCTAACCATCTGTCTGTCTACCTATCTGTCTGTCTAACCATCTGTCTGTCTGTCTGTCTGTCTGTCTAACCACCTGTCTGTCTGTCTAGCTATCCGTCTTCTGCTCTGTCTAACATCAGTCTCTTCTTCCTAAAACCATGGTGGGGTGACTCTAGCTACTCTAGCTGACCACCCAGCAGAATGTGACAAGGATCCGCTCTCTCTCCCCACCAGGAGAGGACGAGCAGACCACCAGGAGGGTGGATGGTGAGGGAGGAAGGGGAGGACCCACCTCCCACAGGGATGTCAGGAACCCAGACCACCCCAGCCAGGAGGAGGGGGATGTGGACGGGGAGGAGGATGAGGACCCAGACCTCCCCAGCCAGGAGGAGGGGGATGTGGACGGGGAGGAGGGTGAGGACCCAGAGGCTAGTCGGCTGTTGGAGTGGCCTCAGCTGGAACTAGAGAGGGTCAACTCCTTCCTGACCTCTCGGCTAGAGGAGATCAAAAACACCATCAAGGTAAGGATAGATGCGTCCCAAATGGCACCCTATTAATAGCAAGAATTACAAATGGCACTAAATAGTGCACTACCCTAAATCATGCACTACCTTTGACCAGGGCCCATGGGGAGAATATAGGGGACAGGGTGCCATCTGGGACTCAATTGATCACTGTCCATAGGGCACTATAAAATCGGTCATGCTGAGAACGCGGACGAAATTCAACAATATAAAAAAATTGTATTGAACTTAGTAGAAAATGTATTAATTTACCCAAGATTATGACATGAACAAAATGCATCAGTGATTAGTATTGTCCTTTAACTTTCTGAAGAGGCAACACAGGAATGCCCCTTGATGTACCAGTACACCCCCTGGACAGGACACTAGTCTATCTCCTGTTTCTGTAGTGAGACAGCTTGATGTACCAGTACACCCCCTGGACAGGACACTAGTCTATCTCCTGTTTCTGTAGTGAGACAGCTTGATGTACCAGTACACCCCCTGGACAGGACACTAGTCTATCTCCTGTTTCTGTAGTGAGACAGCTTGATGTACAGTACACCCCCTGGACAGGACACTAGTCTATCTCCTGTTTCTGTAGTGAGACAGCTTGATGTACCAGTACACCCCCTGGACAGGACACTAGTCTATCTCCTGTTTCTGTAGTGAGACAGCTTGATGTACAGTCCACCCCCTGGACAGGACACTAGTCTGTCTCCTGTTTCTGTAGTGAGGCAGCTTGATGTACAGTACACCCCCTGGACAGGACACTAGTCTGTCTCCTGTTTCTGTAGTGAGACAGCAGGACACCCCCTGGACAGGACACTAGTCTATCTCCTGTTTCTGTAGTGAGACAGCAGGACACCCCCTGGACAGGACACTAGTCTATCTCCTGTTTCTGTAGTGAGACAGCTTGATGTACAGTCCACCCCCTGGACAGGACACTAGTCTATCTCCTGTTTCTGTAGTGAGACAGCTTGATGTACCAGTACACCCCCTGGACAGGACACTAGTCTATCTCCTGTTTCTGTAGTGAGACAGCTTGATGTACAGTCCACCCCCTGGACAGGACACTAGTCTATCTCCTGTTTCTGTAGTGAGACAGCTTGATGTACAGTCCACCCCCTGGACAGGACACTTGTCTATCTCCTGTTTCTCCTGTTTCTGTAGTGAGACAGCAGGACACCCCCTGGACAGGACACTAGTCTATCTCCTGTTTCTGTAGTGAGACAGCAGGACACCCCCTGGACAGGACACTAGTCTATCTCCTGTTTCTGTAGTGAGACAGCAGGACACCCCCTGGACAGGACACTAGTCTATCTCCTGTTTCTGTAGTGAGACAGCAGGACACCCCCTGGACAGGACACTAGTCTATCTCCTGTTTCTGTAGTGAGACAGCAGGACACCCCCTGGACAGGACACTAGTCTATCTCCTGTTTCTGTAGTGAGACAGCAGGACACCCCCTGGACAGGACACTAGTCTATCTCCTGTTTCTGTAGTGAGACAGCAGGACACCCCCTGGACAGGACACTAGTCTATCTCCTGTTTCTGTAGTGAGACAGCAGGACACCCCCTGGACAGGACACTAGTCTATCTCCTGTTTTTGTAGTGAGACAGCAGGACACCCCCTGGACAGGACACTAGTCTATCTCCTGTTTCTGTAGTGAGACAGCAGGACACCCCCTGGACAGGACACTAGTCTATGGCAGGGCCTATTGTATTGATGTTTGTCTAGCTATTTATATATCGTATCTTACATATTATTAGTCACACATTGTCTACTGCAGTGTTCGCCAACCTTTTCTGATTTAAGATCACTTTCTGGGATCTACTGCTCTGATGTATTTATTTATACGTAAACCTACGCAACATTAACCTATTTATTTATACGGAAGCCTACGCAACATTAACCTATTTATTTATACGTAAACCTACGCAACATTAACCTATATATTTTCTAACCAGTTGTGTAGTAATGAGGTTAGTGCAGTAGGCTATGGGTTAGTGCAGTAGGCTATGGGTTAGTGCAGTAGGCTATGGGTTAGTGCAGTAGGCTATGGGTTAGTGCAGTAGGCTATGGGTTAGTGCAGTAGGCTATGGGTTAGTGCAGTAGGCTATGGGTTAGTGCAGTAGGCTATGGGTCCAGGACGTTATCACTGCATATTGGCTTTGCTTGAATTGCCCTGCCAATGTTGTTCTCAGACCATTTAGAAATTATATTTATTTTTTAATTGAGGCAACAGGTAGCTTAGTGGTTAAGAGCGTTGTGCCAGTAACCGAAAGGTCGCTGGTTCTAATCCCTGAGCCGACTAGGTGAAAAATCTGTTGAAACCCTGACTAAGGCAGGTTAGCTGTTTATGAAACCCTGACTAAGGCAGGTTAGCTGTTTATGAAACCCTGACTAAGGCAGGTTAGCTGTTTATGAAACCCTGACTAAGGCAGGTTAGCTGTTTTAATAAACTTATTTCCGCTTTTCTTCTCTTTTCTAAAATAAAAACGTTGACCTTTGACCTTGCAGGACTCTATCCGGGCCTCGTTCTCCATGTACGACCTCAACCTGGATGTGAATGACTTCCCTAAGAAGGCTGCTACTCTGGAGGGCAACCATCTTCTCTCCCACCTCAACGGCTCCTCCTGCTCTGACCTGCAGCAGATAGACCTAGACCTGGCCCCTCTCTCCCTGGGTACCTTCAAGAGTCATCTGGACCTGGTCAAAGGCTGGGAGGAGGCCCATCCCCGGGACCACTCCCCCATCGGACCCATCTCACCCCTGGCTAGTGCTACTGTACCTGGGGTAGGGGGACCAGGGGCTGCGGCTGGTACTGGGGTGAAGGATGTTCACAGGCTCCACACCACCCCCAGCCTCTCCAAGCTGATCCGGGTGCGCACCCCAGAGAGTTGCCCCTCTGCTAGGCCTGAGAATAAACACCAGGCCCCTGCTTCGACCCAGACCCAGGCCTCCACCACGGTGGCTAAGCCTAAAGAGGAGGCCCCAGCGGAGCCCAACAACATTACTCCTGGGGCTAATGCTGGGGCTGGCAAGAACATTACTCCCCCTACTCCTGGGGCTGGGGTTAATGCTGGGGCTGGCAAGAACACTTCTACTCCTGGGGCTGGGGTTAATGCTGGGGCTGGCAAGAACACTTCTACTCCTGGGGCTGGGGTTAATGCTGGGGCTGGCAAGAACACTTCTACTCCTGGGGCTGGGGTTAATGCTGGGGCTGGCAAGAACACTTCTACTCCTGGGGCTGGGGTTAAGGCAGCAGCAGCAGCAACGGCAGGACCAGCTACCTCCAGAACAGAACCAGACCAGACCCGGATCCAAAGCAGCTGCAGAGTCTCAGAAAACTGGTTCCAACGCTGGTTCTGGTTCCAAACCACCACCTCACTCAGCTGAGAGCCAGAGAACCGGGCCAACGAGGGCAGAGGAGACCAGGCCCACCCGGCAGCAGGCCACCAACGGGACAGTGAGTAGCGGGGGTGCTCCCAGCGCCCAAAGAGGGAAGGGGGAGGAGCAAGAGGCCAAAGTTCACTCTGTCACCTCAGCCAATCACAACCAAGCCCAGCAGCAGCAACCCAAGGGGAAGAATAAAAAGAACAAGAACAAGGGGGAGAAAACCAGCCGCAACATCGGTACGTTAGTTTAGATAACCCTCGTTGACTGTCTCTTGTGTTATACATGTTGTAGGATGGGAGACATGTCAGGTACGTTAGTTTAGATAACCCTCTAGTTGACTGTCTCTTGTGTTATACATGTTGTAGGAGGGGAGACATGTCAGGTACGTTAGTTTAGATAACCCTTGTTGACTGTCTCTTGTGTTATACATGTTGTAGGATGGGAGACATGTCAGGTACGTTAGTTTAGATAACCCTCTAGTTGACTGTCTCTTGTGTTATACATGTTGTAGGAGGGGAGACATGTCAGGTACGTTAGTTTAGATAACCCTTGTTGACTGTCTCTTGTGTTATACATGTTGTAGGAGGGGAGACATGTCAGGTACGTTAGTTTAGATAACCCTCTAGTTGACTGTCTCTTGTGTTATACATGTTGTAGGAGGGGAGACATGTCAGGTACGTTAGTTTAGATAACCCTTGTTGACTGTCTCTTGTGTTATACATGTTGTAGGAGGGGAGACATGTCAGGTACGTTAGTTTAGATAACCCTCTAGTTGACTGTCTCTTGTGTTATACATGTTGTAGGAGGGGAGACATGTCAGGTACGTTAGTTTAGATAACCCTTGTTGACTGTCTCTTGTGTTATACATGTTGTAGGAGGGGAGACATGTCAGGTACGTTAGTTTAGATAACCCTCGAGTTGACTGTCTCTTGTGTTATACATGTTGTAGGAGGGGAGACATGTCAGGTACGTTAGTTTAGATAACCCTCGAGTTGACTGTCTCTTGTGTTATACATGTTGTAGGAGGGGAGACATGTCAGGTACGTTAGTTTAGATAACCCTCGAGTTGACTGTCTCTTGTGTTATACATGTTGTAGGATGGGAGACATGTCAGTGTGACTGATAAAGCTACCAGTCAGCGTTAGCGTTCTTTGGTTGTGACGTTTCTGTCACGTTTCTTTCTTCCCCAGACGATGTGTTTCTCCCTAAAGACGTAGACCCAAAAGAAATGGATGAGATTGATCGTGAGGTGGAGTACTTCAAAAGGTAACGCTCAGCCTCTGTGACAATCCAAAACATTTAGGGCCGCTTTACCAAACAGACAGAGATTCTCCAAGACTAGACATAGTCTCTGTCTGGGAAACTGGCCCTTGTTTGTTTTTTTTTTGCCCCCACCAGCCTCCTGTTCATAGAACCATAGAGTGATATTTCTCTCTCCCTCCATCTCTCTCCCTCCATCTCTCTCCTCTCTGTAGGTTTTGCCTTGACTCTGCTAAACAGACCCGCCAGAAGGTCGCAGTAAACTGGTCCAACTTCAGCCTCAAAAAGGTTCCTTCCAACGCAGCCCAGTAACTGACAGGTTCTAGAATGCAGAACCCCCCCCCCCCCCAACATAACTATGTCCAGACAACCCCAACGGCCTGAGGCCTCCTTTTTCCTCACCAAGCCAAGGGACCCTGGTGCAACACCATTTTCTATTGGTCAGGACTGCGACGCTATTGGCTCACAGCCAGGGATCATTCACACACGGGGCCGACTGAGACCCGACTCTTTACTGTTTCACAACGAGGGAGATGAGCGATCCAGGTTGAAACATGGAGAACCAAACACCCTTCTGTCTATCAGATCTGATCTACTGCGTACTTCACTATGTAGTTTGGAAAACAGTTACCTTATATAATAAAAAGTGTTTTTATTGTAATTGTGGCACATTTTAAACATTGTTGAAACCCTCTTGGATTGTTATTGGTTGGTTCTATTAGGTGCTTCTGTTCTCCAAAAAGGTACTGACCCACGACTAACTTTTAGTTTACGGTATCTGCCCCCAGCTCTCCCTCAACACACAACCCTCTGTGGATAGGCACCGTTTTAGATGATGAATCGGCTCTAAATTATTTTTTACATTGATCTTAAGTTCAGATCAGAATAGGTGTTATGGTATGGAGGACACGGGCATTTTTAAAACTGTTAAAGCACATTATACTGTCATAGACACCACCATCGTGTGTGGGCAGGTTATCCATACAGGGTTTTGTTCTCTCGTGACCTCAAATCGTACTGCTCCGATTGGGCCAACCTGTCCCCTCAATATGACATCACAGGCTGAACCAACGCTGGTCATTCATTAATGGTTTGTAGCTTCAACATCAAGGCCAAGTTCAAGATGGTGCCCTATTCCCTATGTAGTGCGCTACTTTAGACCAGGCCCCATAGGGCTATAGTAAAAAGTTGTGCACTATATAGGGTTCCGTTTGGGATGCAACAATGATGTAGTTTAACAACGTTCCAAACTGTAGGATTCAAACGGCAGTGGATGACATGAAACCCGATGGATCAATAGATTCAATACCCCCTTGTACAATGTTATTATTTTGTATGAAAGTGACAAAAGAAATGGTTTTGTTTTAACAAAATGAACGTTTGCGAAGTAATCAACGACACTAATATAAACTCAAATTATTTTATTTTTTTTCTAAAGAAAAGAAGAAAAATCTGGTTACTGTGTTTAACACTTCGATTCGAATCACATCTTGACAAGATGTGTTTTAAATTAAACCAGATTGATTTCTCCCCTGTGTAATCTATAAAAGTCATGGGTATCTTCAGTGTTGTTCAGATATCTGATATCGAGCCATGGTCCATATTTCCCATTGGTTGTTGGTGATGTAACTGCTATCAGAGCTGATATCTTCCCCCGTGGTGGTCTGTGATATAGTTCTATACTGTGTCCATGTTCTCGACCCTGCTGCATCTCAAACAGCACCCTATTCCCTATATAGTGCACTACTTGGGGAATAGGGTGCCATTAGGGACCTTGCCCAAGGCTGCCTCATACTGTTGTTTTGACCTCTTAACTCCTGCTCATACAGGATTGTATTCATTAGGTATCATACGGAAGAAAACAGACAAAAAAACAGGAAGAGACGACGTGGACTTGTCCAATTAGAACCAACTGTTTTTGTTTTCAGTTGGAAAAAGGTCCTCAATCCTCACCTGATTTCAATGTTTGTACATAAAATAAGTGATTTTTAGGGAATTTTAAAACACGTCCGCAATGATGACCTGTCTCTCTGAGGATGGGTGAGGATTTCAACCATGGTACAAAATTCACATTACTCTTGACCTTCTGGTGTCATACACCTCAATAAGTCCCTCTGCTGTCACTGATTCTGCAGTCCTGAACTCTGTTCCCTTTCTGATCAGAAAACAATCAATAGTTTAAGTGACGTTATGAAAGAACTGGTGTTTCGATGATTCTAAGTTAGTCATCAACATCTGTTTTAAAAGGGTTTCCATTAGATTTTTTTTTTTGTTGAAAATCTGTTATGAAATTTTGTATGCAGTTTATATTCAACTAGAATACATTATCTTAAAATGTGTGGAATGTAGTATCCTATACCATTAGTGTAGGCCTAAGCCAAGTTGGCTTTTCTGTTTTTTTTATTCACTTTTGATACTGTGAAAATCTTTCGTTCAGAAAGATTAAAACATTACAGTTTTGACAAAATAAAGTGTGGCGTTTTATTTCTGAGTGGTTTCAGCTCTAAGGGTTAATGTCTCATGACATGATGCATCATATGAAGTACATTTTGGCCCAGCGTCGTCCAGGGTAGGGGAGGGAATGGCCGGCAGGGGATGTAGCTCAGTTGGTAGAGCATGGCGTTTGCAACGCCAGGGTTGTGGGTTCGATTCCCACTGGGGGTATGAAAAATAACAAAATAATACATGTTACTCACTAACTGTAAGTCGCTCTGGATAAGAGCGTCTGCTAAATGACTTAAATGTAAATTTGTTTCATAATTGTCTAATCAATAAGTTATTTTCAACCAAAGTCCTCTTTCAAGGTCATCGCAGACACAGAAGGGCCAGACTTAGTCTGGTTTACACCAGCTCTCGGACTCTTCCTGACAGCTCGCTGGGAAAAATGAATGGGGAAATAATGGGGTTTTGGAATAAACGCTGAAAATAAGGTCCGAGGTAAACAGGCGTAGGAGATCTTATACGTTTTGTTCTATTAGATAATAGCAGTCGGTTAACATGACCTTTATGAATTATGAAGCCTTGTGTTTTTATTACACAAATTGTTATTTTCGGCGCCATTCATTTTCCTCATTGCCTTTGTCCAACGGACCAGGGCACAGTTAGCGCCTACACAGACGCGTCATAAACCCCAGCGGTAAAACACCGGAATGGTTCCAACCGTGTTTGCGTTGGGGATTTTAGGACAACTTCATATAAGGTCTGTGTTTCGTGTAGGCTTACCCTGGCGTAACGTTTTGATAGCCATGTTATTTGTTTTAGCAAAATTTTAGATGAATGCACAACGCCGTTCTAGAATGTTGTCATTGATGTGAATGATTCTAAAATTCTATTGACATCCACCCTGTATTGTAGTTTCATGACCAGAGACAAATCTTCAAAAGGCACAGTATTTATTTATTCAGAGTGGTACATGCATTCACACAGTCAAGTGATAAAACCCCAAATTATCAATTAAAAGTTTATGGAAAAAGTGCACTTGTCCTCATGAAAATTACAGTTTATTAAATATTCTACAGCTGTAATGTCACCAATCAAAATCAAACTTTATTTATATAGCACATTTCTTACAACAAATGTATTTCAAGGTGTTCAAAGTCATGCGTTGAAAGGCATGTGGCACTTAACGCCCTTCCTCTTGGCAGGTATTTTAGGTGACCAGGGGATTCTCTCTACCGCATGCGAATGCCCCCATGGAGCTCATAAGTGTAGCCATGCGGCTGCATTGGCTATGTTTGCGGTTCACAATATCGGCCGTACGGATGTGGAATGAGAGTGGAGGAAGCCAGCCGTGCCCAACCAGGTGCAGCCAGTGGTGCAACCCTCGGTCCCGAGAGCCCACAGAGGAGGACCTGTACCCAGACGAAGTCTACAACCCTCTGTCCAGAGAGCCCACAGTGGAGGACCTGTACCCAGACGAAGTCTACAACCCTCGGTCCCGAGAGCCCACAGAGGAGGACCTGTACCCAGACGAAGTCTACAACCCTCTGTCCAGAGAGCCCACAGAGGAGGACCTGTACCCAGACGAAGTCTACAACCCTCGGTCCCGAGAGCCCACAGAGGAGGACCTGTACCCAGACGAAGTCTACAACCCTCGGTCCCGAGAGCCCACGTGGAGGACCTGTACCCAGACGAAGTCTACAAACCCTCTGTCCCAGAGAGCCCACAGAGGAGGACCTGTACCCAGACGAAGGCTTACAACCCCGTTTGTTTTTCCGGGTCCCGAGAGCCCACAGTGGAGGACCCTGTACCCCAGACGAAGTCTACAACCCTCTGTCCGGAGCCCACAGTTGGAGGACCTGTTACCCAGCCGAAAGTCTACAACCCCTTGTCCCGAAGAGCCCACAGAAGGAGGACCTGCTACCCAGACGACAGGTCTACAACACTCGGTACCCGAGAGCCCGCCACAGAGGAGGACCGGTACCCAGCCGAGGTCTACAACCCTTCGGTCCCAGAGAGCCGCCACAGAGGAGGACCATGTACCCCAGACGAAGGCTACAACCCTCGGGTCCCGGACGAGCCACAGGTGGAGGACCCTGTACCCCAGACGAAGTCTACAACCATTCTGTTCCCGGAGAGCCCACGTGGGGACCTGTACCCAGACGAAAGTCTACAACCCTCTGTCCCGAGGGCCCCCACAGAGGAGGACCTGTACCCAGACGAAGTCTACAACCCTCGGTCCCGAGAGCCCACAGAGGAGGACCTGTACCCAGACGAAGTCTACAACCCTCTGTCCAGAGAGCCCACAGAGGAGGACCTGTACCCAGACGAAGTCTACAACCCTCGGTCCCGAGAGCCCACAGAGGAGGACCTGTACCCAGACGAAGTCTACAACCCTCTGTCCCGAGAGCCCACGTGGAGGACCTGTACCCAGACGAAGTCTACAACCCTCGGTCCCGAGAGCCCACGTGGAGGACCTGTACCCAGACGAAGACTACAACCCTCTGTCCCGAGAGCCCACGTGGAGGACCTGTACCCAGACGAAAACTACAACCCTCTGTCCCGAGAGCCCACGTGGAGGACCTGTACACAGACGAAGTCTACAACCCTCTGTCCCGAGAGCCCACAGAGGAGGATCTTCAGTGGCTGAGGAAACGTCTCCGGGGCAGGTTCAGTGGAATGGCATGGCTCCTTAAACCTGAGCCAGAACAACCACTACCCTCCCCTGTCATCCCTGTCTGTACCGGACGCTGTTAAAAAACAAGGGCAAGATCATGAGAACCATACACAAACATACCGCCTCCGTGAAGACCATCCTTACTGCCACCAGGTCAGCGCCACATCACTGGACGGGACACCGGCTTCTTCGTTGTGTGGCCCACC